CAAAAAAGTTAATTATTCAAGAGTCAATTACTACAGTAAATATCGGAAGGAAGTTATGTTAATCGGTTACGTTTTATTTAAAGTAATAAAAGACTGTATTAAATAGATAGTTATTATTAAAGTAGTGGCATAGAATGGTAAATATTAAGGAAAAATCAGGGTTAAGTACTAATTGTACTTCAGTTTTAATAGTTTAGATAAAGAAACGTTTTGCTAAGCACATGATAATTGAATCTACATATGAAGATAGGCCATACGTTTAAGTACAAGGCAACAAAAGTAGCATGCATAATAGAGTCATTTATTTACATGCATGGAAAACATATATTCTAGGTCACTAGCTAGAAACGTGTAGCGTATGCCAATAGTATCATATATTTACATGCATGAAAAACATATATACTTTGTGTATATGCACTACATATATATATATATATATATATATATATATATATATATATTACATATTGAATATGTATGGGACAGGTGTGTGAAACGACTGAGCCAGAAGCTATTAGGCAGCAATTCCCATTTTACAACGAGATCCAGTCCATTTTCACAGCAAGAATGCAAAGAATGTTGTGGTCAAAACCAAGAACTTCTACGAAGAGAAAACATGATCAGTTTTCATCCGACGAAGAAGATGTTGAGGAGCTAAATCAAAACATAAACGAGGAACTATTGTCTTTTGTCGAGACACACAAGAAAGGTGCAGAAGTGATTACTACTACTAGTACTTCTACTAATCCAAAAAAACGTGCGAAAAAAGGAAAATGCATTACAGGAGCTGAAACCGCGGGTAGTACATTGAAAGAAATGTTAGAGGACTTTATGAGGCAAACGTTGAAGATGGAGAAAGAATGGAGAGATGCATGGGAGATGAAGGAGAGAGAGAGGGAGAAGAGAGAGAAAGAGTGGCGGAGGAGAATGGCGGAGCTAGAGGAGGACAGAGCCGCCGCGGAGAGGAGGTGGATGGAGAGAGAGGATGAGAGACGGCTAAGAGAAGAAACTAGGGCTCAGAAGAGAGATAATCTCATTGATGTCTTGCTTAATAAGCTCAATAGAGATCACGATTATGATCAACAGCAAGGCTTCTAAATTTTTATTTTATTTCAGCATGGGTTAATTAGCGCTAGTTTCTTAATTAGTTACTTATATCTCTAACTAATTTTTGTTTTCTTTATATGAGTAACTGGGAGTTGAAAACGAGAAATCAAAATTATATATATATATATATATATATATCATAGTATGGTTCTTTTTACCGCGTCGATCGGATTAAATTTCTTATAGGTGTCCAAAATCAAATTGGTTTAGTATTTTTAGCTACTTTAGAGAATCTCCATTGAAATTTTTTTAACAAATGTTCACACAAATCCAGAAAAAATAAAATATTATTATAATCTATTTTTGGTAAAACCGCTGCGTGAGTTCTCTGCAGTGAGACGGGTTCATCACTATTACGTCGATTCTATGATACATGACGGTTCAAGGTTGGTTTATTAATTTTTTTAAATCAAATGAAAAAGAAAATCAAAAATCAAAATAGTAATTTTGAGAATCGGAGCCCACCGAATTCACTGATACGGATGTTCTTAGTCTGCTAATAAGAATGCCCACAATTATTAATCACTCGAAAAAAAAAAAAAACTAAACAACCGTCTTTATTCTCAATTCACATTTTGTCCCACTTCACCGCGTTATTTGATTTGATTTATTTTCTTTTCTTGCAAGAGACAGCTACCCAAAAAAAAAAAGACAGCAGATCGCAACACAGTTAAAACCGTGTCATCGGGGGGTTCACACAATTGTAGTGCGATTTTTAAAAAGGGAGTCATCATTTGATCCGTCAGCTCAATTGGATTGGATAGAACCTTATTATAAAGGTCGACCAGTACAAACTTTCATGTATCGCTTCTTGCGGTTTCTTCATTAATTTTTACTAAATAATTATTTGGTAGACTTGGATCAATTATTTATAGTTTTGAAGTTTAAATAAGCTAGAGTGGGAAAATGTTGATGAATTTTACATGAGAACCCCCAAACAAAAAAGGCAGAAACAAACAAAAAAACGTCAAAGAAGTAACGTCTGAAGGAGACCACAATTTGCATGTGAAATGGACATAAAGTAGACAGTACGTATTTCGAAGCTACGGGGCTCTGCAAACTTCAGAAGAAAACTGATATGACTGTTTTCGGACCATGTAATGTATTTAAAATTGTTTCACAGTATATCATTAGTTCCCATCATATCAAATTTGATTTCATACTTATGATAGGAGTCAAGATTATCCTTGTGCTATTTGGTCATCGTGTGATTAGCAATAGTTAATTTAATTCACACCATGTATTTGTGTTTACATTACTTAAAAATGAATAAATCTATATATGATTACAAAACATAAGTATTAAAATATTTACTCTGTCTAAAATTCAAAATGTATAATAGTTCCATCATTAATTTATTTTTCCGCCCATTAAACATTTGCAGTTCATTTTAAGGTCGAATATGGATCCAGAGGAAAACATAAACCATATGCATCATAACAATTTCAGGAATGATGATAATTACGGCTGTTGTGAGTTTTTGGTTAACGATTGGATTATGAGATATGATAGAACGACATAATTTGATGGAGGATTGTGAATTAAAAAAAAATCAAACTAGATACAACAGATCATCAACTAACTGGTCCATAACAAGGTCAAGAATCTCCTGACCAAATTCAACACAAAATTCTTCGACTTGAGTATAGTCAACGGGTTTAGTTGACGAAGTAGAAACCCAAGTTGAAGACTTCATGTCTTCTTCAGAGAGATCTGAGAGCATATTCATTAACTTTGTGATAAACTCTGTCTCTTCAGAATCACTGTTGGTGTTTTCTTTCTTGGTATTTGTTCTTGTTCTTGATGGTGATGAAGAACATGAAGATTTTGCTGATGTCTCTACTTGCTTTGTTGCCAACTCCGATGCACTTTCTGAATCACCTGTTTTTTTTTCAAATTAAAGTTAAAGTTTTAAAACTATATTTTTTGGGAAAATTAACATAAAAATTCTTGAAGGTGGGTAAAATCTTGACAAAGTCACATTTATTTTTCCTCCCAATAACAAACTCTCATTTATGCAGCTTTTTACAGTAAAAAAACAAGAAAGATGTTCAAACATTAAATAGTCATTCAAAAAAAAAAAAAAAAAACTGTTCAAACATTAAATCAAAACTGTATTTGTCCGAATCCGGAATTATATTAATTTACGTTGAAGCTTAATGACAAATTAGTCAAGTTTTGTATAATGTCTACAATATATAAAGTATAAGTGATTTAAATGAATTAAAATGTTGACTAAAATTTTACCAGGAAATGAGATTTAAAAAGACCAGCAACTTCATTCAAATATTTAAATTAAAAAGACCTAGAACTAGTAATAAATTTATTTATAAGAAAGGAATAATAACTTTGTAGACTCACCTGAGAAGTAGTAGTCATCATCAAGGATTAGATAATCATAAAGATCTCGATCAAGAACCGAAACAGGACTGGCATTTGATTTATTCTCCGGCGACTCCGTCTCTTTTCCGCTAAACTCATCCGCCGGAATGTTCTTTCCTCCAAGAAGCGCCATCTTCTCGGTGGACTTACTCTTAGACGGAGAGAGAAACCATCTAACTTTCTTAGCTCCGTTAACATGATCACTTCGACTCTCACTCTTGTTCTTCTTCTTCTTAGCAACTTTCCTCGGCTCGTCTTTAAACTTCTTGGCAACTTTCTCGTTCTCCTTCTTCTTTCCCTGAGGTGGCAATGGCGGCTTCTTGGAATCTTCTAAGACCTTCTCGAACCTCTTAGACCTCGACGATCCGACAAGTTCCCTTTTCTCGTCGAGCTTGTCGAGATACATCAGCAAGAAATCGTGTTTCTTCTGTTGTTGGTTCGAGCTCGATCTCCCCGAGGTTGGGACTATCTCTCGGAAAGAAACCGACGCTCTAACTCTCCGGAACGGGAGCTGACCGTCTTTCTCATCATCATCATCTTCTTCTTCTTCCTCCTCTTTAACTCTTAGGATATAGTCCATGAAGTTAACCGATTTGCTCCGTGCGACAGCCGAACCGGAATCGTCAAAGTACCTAAACCGGTTTGATCCCGGTGTGGGATTATCTAGACCCATGAGTTTGGCTACAACGTTGGGTGGAGGAGGAGAGACGTCATCTTCTTGTGTTTGGTTTTCGGATTTGGTCTCTTTCTTTGGCTCCTCCATTTCTTCGTAAGTGCTTAGTAACTGGAGTGTTTCGTCGGAGTCGAGGATGTTGTCGGAAGGGTGAGTTTGTTGGCTGCCGGAACATAAAAGACGGCGAACAACAGCCGTGAGGCAGCCGGTCTTTGGGTTGGCTCGTTGGGTCATGGTGATGTGTGATGTTTTATGTATGATAAGTTGTGAAGAGTGTGGTTTAGTAAAAATATGTAGAAAGGAGTGTGTTGAGAATGTGCAAGACTTTCTTGATATTTATAACGACAAGTAAAGGCAATCCATTCCATTACTTGTTATTTGTGAGGGTCCACCAACTAACTAAACTAAATCATAGCAAACGTTTATATGTTTTAAGCAAAAAACATACTATATTTTGTTAAATGTAACTTGACATTAAAAAAAAATCAAATTTGGTTCACTGAACGCTTATGACAGGGACAAACTATTTCTCATTATTTAGTTCACTTCACATATTTACTGATCTTTCTCAGTATTAAAGAAGAATTACTTTCCATGTTAAGTTTGTTCACAATTTATTTTTTTAAAATATATATGTTCTTGTTGTTCTGCAATGAATAACATGACTTAAATTAATGATTATTCCACCATTATATTTGATTTTATACACAATTTTATAGTCCTGATTTTTTTGGTTAATAATTAGCAGTGACATGTAAAGGGAAAAGTGCCAAGGATCAATAAAGTAGTACTAAACCAAAGTGATATAGAGAAGAAGATTCTATTTTTCAAACTCAACGGAAGAAAATAAACTTTGAAACTTTTGTAAAGATCAGGAATTAATAATGGCCTTATCAGTTATTTTAAAATAAAGTCATGCAATAGAAGATTTTTTGAGTCACGTAGTTAATAAGTGTTAAACAGGTCGAGTTTTGTTCTTGTTGATTTAAAAGCTTTAGCCTGTTATATGTGATTGACTTATAAGGAGTGAGAAAATTCAAATGTCAATTTTATTTCATATTAAAGTATTGGTTTTCGAACCGTATAGTTCAAGAAACTAAAAATATACTACATGTTTAGCAGCTAAGTCTAAAATAAAATGAGGTTAATTAGCTTTATTAGACGTTAGTAATTTTTATTTTCGTAAGAAGTTAGTAATTTCTATCAAACGTGACGTTTGTACGAGAGGCAAATTATTTTTAGAAGTAACAAAGATAATAAGCAAGAATGTTGGTATGTTAATAAAGTCAATCTTCTAGCTCGATACAACAATTATGTTGATCAATTATATAATTTTATTAAATTGACCAATAATATCTAATCTTTATCATATATACAAGACGGGCGGGATCATGTTTTCGAATAGTAGTTAGAATCTTCAAAAGATGAATAAGGATAAAGTCACAAAAGGCCTATTGGAAACATATATATTTCACTTTATTATTGTAAAAGCACATATGTAACATTAATTGGAGGTTTAGAGCAATTAGCTTCAAGGTACTATTTTTTTTTTGTCACCAGGCTTAATGTATTAACTGCGTATGATTGGCATAATTATTATGTATGATTAGTATGTGTAATGATGGATAATCCAAGTACGTGATATTAAATTATACCAAAAATTCCCTTATATATACCTTTTATTAGTGTTTAAAAAAAAAATATACCTTTATTAATTTAAACAAAAATAAATAAATTAACAAATGCTATTCATTATAAAAGAGCTATACATATACATATTATTGTTTGATCTATCCTTTGGCCAATTAAAAAAAAAAACAATTTGATTTTTTTGATAAAAGTATTCGTAGGTATAATACATGTATGAAGGGTGAAAAAAAATAGTATTTTCGTTGCCTTTTTAGGATATGATGCTAATTGTCATGTTTTCAAGAAATCTCAAAATTACTTTTTTCTTCTTTAAAACGACAACTTTACCACTTTACTAACTGAGTGTTTCATTTGATAAGGTATGCGAGATTCCATATTCAAATTCGAAGTGTTAAAGA